TGGGATCCGGGCTTCAATTCTTTCCATTAATGGTGGGAGTGAATTTTTTTGGAAAAATGGGATCTGGGCTTCAATTTTTTCCATTAATGGTGGGAGTGATTCAGGCTACAATTAAGGAGGGAATTAATAAAAGTATTGGGGGACATGCAAAAAGGAAGGGAAATCTTCTCCCCTCTCCTAACCCTAGCCGAAACTTATTTGTATGATCTTTAAATATAACAATGCACATCATGTAACTTTCAAAAATGAAGTTTTGAGTCTTACTACAATTTCAGAACAGAAAATGATAATTTAGGGTTTCACAGGTTGATAAAGACGGTTTCAAGTTCTAGCTCATCATACAGCTCAAGTGGAGTTTAATGGAGTGTTAATGGAGGTAAAATAATTGATCTAAAAATGGGGTCAACAGTTCTTATTGCCACCAGCACTTCAATTTGTTGCAGGGGTAGTAGGGCTAAACAAACTCCATTATCTTCAACCTCATTCCATTTCACAAATTTTTTTTTTATTGATTATTACTTCATGGCGTTTCTATAGCCTTTGTTCGTACGCAATTTGTGAATTTGAATTGGCTCCCAAGGAGACAATTTCAATATTAAAATAGTTGATAATCACCACCATTTTCTATTAGCCCTAAATTTTATGCCTAAACTTCTAATAATTATTTGCATCGGTCTTCATGGATTTTCTATAACCTTTGTTGGTTAGCTAAGTTGAATTGGCTCCCAAGGAGACGGACATTTCAATTTTAAAATAGTTGCTAACCACCATCATTTTCTATTAGCCCTAAATTTTATGTCTAAACTTCTCATAATTATTTGCACTGGTTCAATCATCAAAATTTTGATTCATCAACTACATTTGATTCATTTTGTTGAGAAATTCAAAAATTCATTAACTACATTTGATTCATTTTGTTGAGAAATTCAAAATGGTATATTATATTTGTTGAGTTGAGGCTTTGTCAATTATTCTTGTTTGTATAACACAACTCTAGCTTGTCCGAATTAATTAAGATCAATTAAGATGATCCAAGGGTTGGATTGTCTTGCACTTTGTGATTAAAGGCAGGCCAATCTTGTATATCATTTGTCGATATTAATAAAATATATTCTGGTATATTATTACTAGAAAATGTATTAAAATTTATATATATGGCATCTTTCTTATTTTTCAACAATGAAATTCCTAAATTGCAAAGCATATTGGAGATTTGATTGCTTTGTGAAGCTTATAGTTGACCGTTTTATACCAAAGGAAGCTCTGTTGAGGAAGTCGCGAGTACAAGTTTTGTGGGGTGAAGAGAATGAAAAACCATGTAAGCTTTGCAAATGCTCGATGAAGGGGAGAAAGGGGCGATGTTCAAGGAGCAAGGGCCAACAAAGTGGAGTTGCAGAGTTGAATGAAGAGAATGAAAGATACCTAAGCTGCAAGAGCTAAGGTGAAGAGAAAGGAGGGACAATGTGGATTTAGTTTATCATTCATATGATCTATCTCATGGACAGTCAAATGTTTGTCCTCAGGTGTGCCTATACTAATTTTGTCATATATTGGGTCTTATTTGATCTGAACACATGTCAGGGGTGTGTTGGATATATATTTATATTAGATGCAAGTGTTATAGAAGGTATTCAGAAATGTCTGTGAAGCCTAGCATCCATGGGAATTATTTTCTTGATTCACTGTAGCAATCCATCTCCTCTTTTTAGGGGAAGGGTTGCCGTGACCCCATGTATTCATCCACTAGTTCTGATCATTCAACCCTTCCCGCCTCTGGTTTTAGGATAAAGGGCTACCTTGGTTGCTTGTAGATTTCCAGCCCTTATTCAAGAGGAGTCTTAAAAAACTCCGATTGTATGCCAACTTGTGGTATTCTAATTCTCATTTCTTTTAGGAAAGGAATTGTTTTGGTTCTCTCTATTTCCCAATAATTTTGACTTACTTTATCCCTTCTTTAAGGAGAGTAATTATATGGACCGCCTTCAATTGTCTACCAACTTCATGTAATTTAGTCCCTTCTCTATCTTCCTTAGGAGAGGACTTATCTGAACATCATTAATAATCTCCTTGAACTAGTTTCACCATCTTATTGTCGCTTTTAGGTTGCTCCATCTCTATAAATAGTGAAGGATTGATCCAACCATCTTCAATAACCCCCAAGTTCTTAAGTTAGTGCATTAATGCTTTTAGTTCATATCATTCTCACTTACAAGAGGATCATTCCTGCCACCATGATGGCGTTACCAACCTTTCAACCCTACTCTATTTGCCACATAATGTCATATTCCTTTGTTTTTTAGGAGAACTATCTTTATACCTGATCTCCTTGTTACAACACTGATGATGCAACGACACCCTAGTTTTGCTTGCATTTGGTTGAAGCCTTCGTTGAGTTTGGAGAAAGGTTGTTGTCCATTCTAAGTCATACCTACTATTATTGGAAGTTATTTCGATTGTATAGGTCTTTTGTAATTTTTCATTCTTAAGAATTCCATGTAAAAAAAGCTGCACCACTAGCTTGCTTTATTTATTTTTTTATTGTGTGTGGGATATCCCTCGTAATTAAGACGATTAAACTCTCTACAAAAGCAATATTTGAATGTAAAAGTTTAATATCCAAATGTAGTATTATCACTGTTTTTATTAGCCTTATAACAAATCGAAGTTTGAAGCTAGAAATATTATATTACTAAGTACCCATTAATAAAATGATACTCATGACTATTGTTAATTACAAAATATATGAGATAAGTAAAGGAATTTTGATAATGTGAATTAAATTTATGATTGATTTCATAAACCATTTACTTGAATAGTATATATGTTGTTTAATTTGTGGCTAATACTTATACGTGCTCTACCCGAGAGGTGTAAAAAAGTGTGGGAAATGGTATTTGATTTGACGTGTCAATCCTATAGAAGTTGTATTTCAAATGTAGTGATCTTGCTTTTTATGTTAATATTTTAACTGGCGGGCTTCTAGTTTGATTCTTTTAGCAATGTTTTGCAAATAAATCTTGATACTATTTATTTGTTAATTTTGATTCTATGATTTATAGATCATAACTTAAATATACAAGTTGAATGTAGCTCCATATGATTTACCTGTCACTTCACGTAGGAGGGGGTAGGAAGTGAGGTAGAAGGAGGTAGTTTCAAGGAATAATGAATGCATACAATGTGAAGGAAGAGTCAAACTTGTGAGTGAGATGCTATTAGTACCAACAACAAAAATCAGTGAACTGTATTAAAAAATAAATGGGCTGGAAAGTGTGAAGAGAACAGCTAGGAAGCGACTAGTTCTATAAATAGAATAAAAAACTAACAAGCAACGACTAAACTATAAGAATTAGTGAGGAGAGGTGGAAGATGTTTTCTTTGTTTTTGGTGAAGATGCTAAATCGATTAATAAATTTTGAATATGAATTTTGTTTTAATTTGAATATACTTATAGAACACTCCAAAACCTTGTTTAGAAAGGAATTAAAAACATGCCTCGAATTGAGGTGCACAAGAACACCTTGATGCTTAAATCTCACTATCATTAGCGTGGCTTGTGCTTTTTTGTCTGAGGCATAGGCAGTGGCTCAATCAGGTTAAGTAAAAAAGAAAATTATATTATATTACAAGATTAATATATGTTATTTTATATTATATTATACTTATATCTAATATATTTAATATAATTCCTAAAAAAAGTTAAAAGACAATTAAAGTAAGATTACTTCATTATGTTATTAATTTGTTACTTTATTGTAAATTATATTGAATTTAATGCTAATTAATATATGTGGTAAGAAAAATATATATAGCGATTAAAGAAGATTTGGAATGCGCTAATGGGACAATTAGATGATATTAAACTTATTACATATGATGATTCTTCTGAATATGATGAAAATAAAGATAAATCGTGATTCTTATGGTGCCATGAAAATTTAACTGAATATTATCTTGAATCTCATTTCAAAAATTCGTTTTATATTAAAATTTAGGGTTGTCATATGTATATATTGTCTTTATTATAATAAATTAAATTAATATATTATTAACTTTGGTCATTTTTTATGAATAATTTTTTATATTTATGAGTTTTTACTTCTATAATGAGATTTATGCTTTGATCCTACTCGAGGTTTACACCTTATTTCACTATGCAAACACCTCAATTCTTGATTTTGCCTTAAAGTGCATTTAAATAACCTCGGATGAGTTATAAAAGGCCGCTAAAAAGTTTACTCTTAAAGAATGGATAATGACAAATCATTAGTCTTTATAATAATTAAGGAAGCTATGGGATATATATAGATTGCATGAAATTAAAAGCTATATGTTCTAAGGATTATATGATTGTCAATGCACTAAAGAGAAAAGAAGACTGTAAAAAAGCTTAGGTAATATTCATGAGATCTAGAGATTTTGAGCAATTTAGATGTATATGATGGTATATAAAGATAAGATATTAAAGAAATAATGACATGCTATTTTAAGAAATTATTAAATTAGAATTTCAAGGATTTTTTTTTCTTGAAAAATAATGAATAAATTCATGAATATAATACACTGATCCAAAAAAAAAAGTTGAGTTAGTTCTAAAGAATTTGTATAAGATAAAGTTTTAGGTATATTTGAGATAATCTTTGAGATTTGAAGATCTGTAAAGATATAATTGTGGTTGAGTAATTAGTTTTTTTTTTAAATGTGATTTTAAATATTATGGGAAAGTCAAATGATTGGAGAAGTGGTATTTAGCTATTATATTTAAGAACAAAAAATGTTTATGATTGTGATAATTATAAAAGAATCAAACTTTTAAGTTAGACAATGAGTTTTTTTGGGATATTAGTGAAACATACAATTAAATAAACAGGCCAACATCAGAAAATCAATTTGAGTTATGTTAGAAAGACACATTATGGATGTGATTTCTAGACTACAGCAATTAAGGGAATAATATATAAAGGAAAAAAATATGACTTCTATATATTTTATTGATCTTTGAGAAGGCATTTTATCAAGTATTGTTATAATTGATTCGACGAAATATAAGAAAAAGTGATTTTGTCAAATGTATTAAAATAAAATTAATAACATAAGAGTATTTCTGTTGTGACTAAACTATTCTCTTTTATGTTAGGATTACACTAACGACTATTATTAAGTTTGCATCTTTTTATATAGCTTATACTAAAATGAGTTGTAATGGTGTATGATATTGCAGATGACAACTTCAGCTGGTGAGTTCTTTTACTAAAACAAGTGAGAACAATGGAGGAAATATTTTGAATAAATAGAACAAACTTTTGAGCAAATCACACACACGCGCGCATATACATATATACACATAATACATATACGTATGTGCATATATATGTACGTATGTGTGTGTGTGTGTGTTGTGTGTGTGTGTGTCCCTCGAGTCAGAGGTTCGATCCTTGCGTAGGATCAAATTGCACACCTTCTGGAAGCGGAGTCCGCTCTTCGGTCAGACTATTGGGTTTATAGGCGATCAACCTTTTTTTTAATATATATATATATATATATATATATATATATATATATATATATTTGTGTGCGTGCGCGCGTGCGTGTGTGTGTGAGAAGATTTAGCAATATCTTGTGTGCCAGCTATGAGAAATTGTTTAGTTCAACAATATAATAGAATGGGGACGGTTATAAAATTAGGAAACACAAATTGTGAATTGACTGTCTGAAATGAATTGTTGGAGTAGCAACTACTACAAATGTGCTGAAGGAAGTTAGGGTTAGTTGGCTTGTACATGTGTAATGGAGCGTGAAAGATGAATCAATACGAAAAATTGATAAAATTAATGGGGAAGGATATGGATGGAGGAGTTCACAAAAGTGGCAACTATTATTGAAGTTTTGTAAATAGACTTGTACAAAATAAGCTAAACACATGACACTCAGCCAGAATGAAAGAGAAATATGGCACGGGGTTCCCTAAACACATGACACTCAGCCAGAATGAAAGAGAAAGAAGGATTTATCATGCTGAACTAAAATGATCAGGACAAGACTAATTATTCTGACGGTTGGAAATTGTTGGAATTCGTGATGTTCATGAAGATGAAAATGTGTAATATACAAGTCTTTATCACATAAAAATGTCACAAAATACAATTTTTTATGCATAGGTTTATGACTCCAAAGTGTTATAAATGATATCAACTTTAGGTGCTTGATATCTAAATTCACTGGAATTGTTTGGTGTGTATGTAAATATTCCAAGGTCTTGATATGGTCAGGGAAATGCATGCAAGTCATTAGAAAAACAAAGAAACAAAATCAATTTATTCAAAACCCGCAATTGAGGACCTAAATGTATTTTTTCCTTAAAATATTTGGAACTTACTTTATCCTATGATTCTCACTAAAGCTCTTAAAACAGTCAGATTCTCGATGAATACTCCTGGCATATGTGGCTTGGTTCATGGCATTATCAAATATCAGAATTTTTTTAATGAAACTGTTATCTATCTCTTTCTTTTCATGACTTGCTGTTCTTGTTTTGTTTCTTTTCAGACGAACATTTGCGGCTAAGTCCTTATTTGTCCTATTTGAGTGGCGCTATAGCTGGATGCGCAGCAACTTTAGGATCATATCCCTTTGATCTTCTAAGAACAATTTTGGCATCACAGGGTGAGCCAAAGGTGTGTTTTAATGCTAATAATAACTATATGATTATAGGTTTTTTCTGAATTAAATTGTTTTGCTTCTTTTCAATTGTGATTTTCAACATATGAATGTCTATAGGCCTACTTGAAGCATTCACCCCATAGGAATTAAAATTAAGGGGAATTTACATACATAGCACACGATTCTTATGAATTTACGTATCTCACACAAACTTTCAAGTTTACACATATAACACTCAACTACTAAAATCTCACACTTAAACTTTCAAGTTTACACATATAACACTCAACTACTAAATATCACAAAAAATAGCACTATTACTGCTTTTTAAAAGTGAAATCCACTTATTCGTGGATAGGTTTGCACCAAAGTGTTCTGTATGCAAACATGAAAGTTTAGGTGTGAGATATGTAAATACATAAGAATTGTGTGCTGCATATGTAAATTTCGCTAAAAAAATTATTATGCTTGTTTTAAGTGCTAACCACTCATGTAGTCGGATATCAGTTTTAGATTTTTTGTATATTCTGAATTTTATTACAATACGATTGGGGTTCTCTCTTTAAACCTCGTCCTTTTTCAACAAACATATAGGTGGCTTCATTATGTACCTGCAACGGTCATATTTGTGCTGGTTCCTATTATGGTCTTACTTTCTTTTTATTTAAATCTCATGCTTGTGTAAAGAGAGTAAGCGTAGGATACTAAACAGGATTGCCAAGGAGTTAACAAAAACTATGACATTTTATCATTTGAAGTATAAAGATAAATCAATAAGAAATGGGTGATTTGGTATTTCAAGTTTTAAATTAGAGAGGCACACCCGTTATTGAAAAAAATGAAAATTTACATACAATTTAAGTATTAAATAGTGTATTGTTTTTTTATGTGATTGCAAAGAATTGGGTGCTTAGGTTATATAACTTTAAGTTCTGGTGTGAGATTCGTAAATGCATAAGAATTTGGTGCTACCTCAGTAAATTCCCTAAAAAAAATTAAAAATGGTCTTGCCATTTTTCTTTACTAAACTCTGACTTTTTACTTGTTTTTCATAATTATTAGAGCCATAAATGTGAATTGATACTTATGAGGCATTATTGGCATCCTTTTCAAGTTACCGAGGAAATTTGACTTAATTTTATTATGTAAATTACATAGAAAACTTGATTTATTGCAGATATACCCGAATATGAGATCTGCATTTGTAGACATACTACGAACACGAGGTATTCGAGGATTGTATTTTGGATTGTCCCCAACTCTAGTTGAGATCATTCCATATGCTGGCTTGCAGTTTGGGACTTATGATACATTTAAACGATGGATGATGGTAATTTCTTATCTCCTTTATTCTTTATAGCTTTTTATTTAGTTTAGTTTTATGCTCCATCTAACAGCTATTATTCTTGTATTTCCATCCGTTTATTAGTTTTAGAAGGATTATGCTGTGAATGTTCAATTAAATTTGATGTTAAGTTCAACGATTGGTGCTCCATTGAATTGTTAAATTTATTTAATTTATCAAAGTTAAAATCAAGGAACAATCACTAAAAGTTGAAATAATTATTTACAAATAAAAGAGAAATAAAATTAGTTAATATATAAAAATATGTTTATTTTTAACCTATTAGTTATTAACAAAATGCAAAGAGCAATTGTGTATGAATAAATTAAGTTTTTAGTAAACGCTCAAGAAAGCCATTGGCCCAACTAATGGCCTATTTAGGATCAATTTGTTTTAAATATTTATTTCTTAAAATGTGTTTTTTTAGTGTATTTTCCAAATATTTTTTATTTTTGTCCTTTTAAAGTCACATCAACTTGTTTATTTTATGTTTTATTTTCATTTTGTTTTATTTATGTTATTGCCGGTCCCAAGCCCGGATGTGAAAAGTGGAGGGGTCGGAAGCTAAGATAAAAATTGTCAAAAAATTTATGACATGAATCCTTTTGATCACTGTGTAAGTGCTAGGGTGTCCCTGAAAGCGACGCGTGAGACGCAATAGAGAAAAATGATTCATGTAGCCGACCCCACTTAGTGGGATAAAGGTTTTGTTGTTTTTAATTTTAAAAACGTCTACTTGGATGGATTGCTATGCAAAAGCTTTCTGTATTAAAATTGCACTTAATGAATTGCCTTTGGATTATAATTTTCTCTAACTATTCTTAAACCTTTTCCGGCCTGTTGCAGAATTGGCATAGGTTCATGCTTTCGAATACTGGCTCGCCTAACAATGGCGACTCTCTCTCAAGTTTTGAAATCTTTCTTTGCGGATTCGCAGCCGGTACGAGTGCAAAAGCAGTCTGTCATCCCCTTGACGTGGTAAAAAAGAGATTTCAGGTAACTTACATCCTCAAAAGCATCATCTCATCTTGTAAAAAAAGATAATTTTCAGCAAGGGAACATTGTAAATGAAGCTCTTTTCGGAAATATTTCAGATCGAGGGATTACAGAGGGATCTCAAGTACGGCGCAAGAGTAGAGAGGAGCACATACAGAAACATGTACGACGCGCTTCTTCAGATTTTGAGAAATGAGGGATGGGCAGGGCTCTACAAGGGAATCTACCCTTCTTTGATAAAATCTGCTCCTGCTGGTGCTGTCACCTTTGTGGCTTATGAATACATCTCTGATTTCCTAGAGTCTGTGACAAAATGAAACCTTGAAACTTTTTCCTATCATCAATTTTGTTACCATAGCACAATTCTTTATTTACCCTTCACTTTCTGTAATTTTGGCTCCTTTAGGAATTAATTCAATCAGTAGTTTTATCGGATTGGTATTTCATTTACCTGCAACAGGAGGCTTGATTTCAGATTGCTCAGTGTCTGCCTGCTGAGATCTTGCAGATCTTTCTGAAATATAAGCCTTT